AATAAATTAAATAAATGGCATTTTTGGCTTCCTGGTAGAGAATCTGATATTGCCTGGCTTTCCACATCTGTTGCTAAAGCCAAGTTTTAGTTCTTTGAAAAGTTATTGCCTGGCTTGTCTTCAAGGAACACTTTTTGCGTCCCATCTTAAATGCTGAGAACAAACCATGTACACCATATTCTTATGTTAATATACGTATGGCTGGTTTATACAGATTCTGTTTTTACTAGGTCTAATATGAAAGTGAGGTGTAGAAAATTTTTTAGTAACAGGGATTCCCACAGGCAGCTGAACAGCTGATCCCAAAGGAGAGCTCTTGTGTCTCTGTTATTTGCAGGATGGAAACTGGAGGAGTGATGCAGGTGGTCAAATGTGACCATGTATGTACCATGCCACAGAACTGCACCTGGTTTAATCTAGCCTATAACACCTGCCTTTTGCTGGTAGTTGAAGAGAAATTTTCCAAGGCAAACTCTTCAGCTGTTAATTAAATCCAAAATTTTCAAAAAATAAAGTATCTCTGAATTTATTTATCATCTTCCCAGTCACTAGGCTCTTACAGTGCTTTTGATGAGTGTAGGGTAGGTTTTTAGTACTAAATCTTCTTCCACATATACTTACAGGTTGAATCCCTCCTATGACTAAGTGAAAAAGGTAGGCTCTCAAGTTCCATGGTAAGACAAGTTTTGCAGGTATCTTTTTTTTTAAAACCATTAACTGTGGCTTCTTTTCTGAACCCCTCTCAGGAAGGCCTGGTGAAGAGGAGATGATTGTGTGTCATACCTATATCAGAGAGTAGTGTGCTTCCAGGAATGCTGGTATGCTGAGTGCTTTCTAAATGTTGCATGCTGCACCAAACAAATGGGTCTCACACCTGCTGATTTCCTGAGCAGCTAGCATAAAATACCACAGCAATCTTCTAGTTACCTCCCTCTCTTTTTCAGTCTACCTGTACCCCTGAAGTAGGCTAATTTACGAAACACAAATTCCTTGTCAGGAGCTGCATCCTGAGCTGAGAACGGGTCACACCTTTGAAAACCAAATGAAATGGGCAGAGATGGGAGCTGCTGTTACCTCCTGCCTGGTCTTTCAAATGCACTTGTGTGCTGGGGTATTTTTCCAAAAATGATGCACTTGAATTTTGACATCAAATCAAATACTCCAATTGCCAGAGAAGCTCCCTAACCACAAACCTATAGACTATTTTGGGGGTTACACTCCTGCCTGTCCTGCTCCAGAGCTGGATTGCTTTCAAGAATGCATGAGTTATAGGGCCAGAAGGTCGGTATGCAAGAGGGAGCCTGCCTTGGTAGATATTTTACATTACATAGTAATTGGATACAAAGAAGAAATAAAGCTAAGAGCAGACACAGTGATCCTGGGTCTTCCCCTCCTAGCTGAGTGCCCTGACCTCTCTGGATTACAGAGCTGGATCTTGGCATTCTTGCCTTCTTGGCCAAGGATTTTTTACACTCCTAGGTACCTGATAGCCCATCTCCAGCATGACAGGTTTGATGAGTTTATGAACTCATACTTGATGCTGATTTCCTTACCTCAAAGAGATAAAAACTTAGCATGTGAAATGGAAATGCAGCTAGGCCTTGTTTGGTGTCTAGTCTAAGGTTAAGTTATTTTCTGCACCAGCTCACACACTGGAAAAAGGGGGTAGGGGGGACTGGCAGCAGCTGGCAGTGACGCTTGAAGAAGCTGAAAACTGTCCTGTGAGAGCTTCCACTGGCTCTGCCATGGGGAGCCCCCAGTGCCGCAGGAATGGTGGGCCCAGGCTGGCATTTGTGCAACTTTTAGAGGCGTTGGTCTCCGGAGGCAGTTCTTGCTTGCTTGGTCTCAGCCACATGCTGTTCAATTCTGTGACATCTAAGTAGGACAGAACTGCCCTGTTCTTGCCAGAAGCCACATTCTTCTCCAGTGCGTTTTGTATTTCTTCTCATCCTGCTCTGTCGGCAGACAGTCAGCATTCACCATGTTGCTTTGCATTCAGGCTGAGTTTGCCAAAATGATCTCTGAGCTTTCTCCTCTCTTTGCATCTGAGTACCAAAAATATTTGTGGTCCTTGGCGTGTTGTTGGCACCAGGTGACCTTGTTTGCACCCTTACATGCTTGAATAGGGGGTTTGTGTGCCAGGGCTTAGAAAGGGGTGATTTGCAGGCTAGTAAGGGGCAACCCTGTGATTAGAAATTCCATGATCTGACAGAATGCATATTTGACCTGCTAGTGTAAAATAGATTATTATTCTATTATGTAAACATTTTAAGGTCCAGGTTTGATAAGGATCAATGACAGAAAAAGGTGGTGCGTTCCTACCTGTCTGTAGAAGTACTTGCTAACATGTACTGTGGCATTTGGTTTATAACCTTACAATAGTGGCTTTGATTAATAATGCTTTATTAGTTATAAATGTAGACTTACTGAATAAATCCTACTTACTCTGTTGAATGGCTTTCCATGCCTACATAAAACTATTTCAGTAATTAGAAAGCTACTATAATATTTCTCTATATTGTAGACTGAGTTGTGAGCTCTCTGTCAGCTTTCCCGAATTCCTACATAGGACTTCTACTTGACCCCATCCTTGACACAAAAGAGAAATGGTTTCAGCTTGCATTTTGTGATGAGGAAGGTTGGGTGTGGTAAGACAAGGTTTCCTAGGAAGGGATTTAAGAGTACTTTTCTCCTTCTGATGGGCCTCTGGACCTGAACCGTACTCTTCCCCGCCAGGATCAGAGAAATGAGACTGGAGAGATGAAATCCCCACTGAAAAGGGCCAAACCCCCTCCCTGAAGGACAGCAGAGTTAATACAATTGCTTTGTGGGCTTGCGTTTCAAAAGAAGAATAGAAGAGTACACCTGAGGGGTGTTGGCATAAGGCATCTTATGGAAAGCTCACCTCTGTCTTTTTCTAGAAAATGTAGGCTTGTAACTCCTGGGTTTTTTCCTCCCCTTTGTGTATAAAACACAAAGCAGTGGGGATCAGTTGTTTTATCTACTACTGAAAAGCAGCCATCAGCACAGAATAACATGAGAACAGTTTGAAAGGAAGCGTGGAACACTACATTCAACTGAAACTAATTACCTGATTAGATTTTGGCCTGGCTGTGTGGGTTGACATCCAATGATCTTGGCGACAATACCTGTGAGCAAAGCCAAGTCTAGTCTTGCTTCATTTAAAGACTCTGGACAAAACTTCTGGACTTGTGTGCTGAATGCTAAGTAGTGTGAAAATAGGCCACTGATTTAAAGTACCCATGACAACAATGGGTGTCAGTGGGCAGCTGGCATGGTTGCAGATGAATGAGCTTATTTGGGTTTTAGAAATACTGGTTTCCACTTAAAGGTGTTTCTGTTTCAAGCACACAGTCTGGTGAAGTTTAACTCTGCGTCAGAACATCTGCCATTCACAGCTATAGAATTAGCACCTTCCTTCACCACTTCAAACCTTTCCCGTTAGAAATTTAGTCAAAAAGTCTGATGCTCAGATCTCATAAACTTAGAAAATCACCTGAAGGGATGTTATCTCACTTAGTCTGCTACAGTAGTTCCTTCTCTTTGTCTCCATAGGTGTTAATACAGCTTTGATAGGTGAGAAGTATTTGTTATTGCTGTTGTCATCTTCTCTTGCACCTTTGCACAAACACTTTTTTGATCTCTTGGTGTCTTTGGAAAACAGCGTGTTTTCATGTTAGGAGTACCTATGCAACATCTCAAGTGTCTGCAGTGTTAGACATATATATTTATTGGTGTGATGATATTTTTTTTGTCTTGGCATCACTCTAAAGGGAAAAAAAAATCATTACTTGGAATGGTTTGAAGCTTTACTGGAAAGAGAGGGATGTTTTTCATCTGTCCACTATTACAAAAATATAGCCCATTAAGAACAAAGGTGAGCAGAGCATTTTCAGAAAGACTTGAAGTGTCCTTGCCCCTGAATGGGAAACTTCCAGGCTGCACTCACTTCAGGCACCCTAGAGAGCCTCCGTTCTCCCTTCTCAGGGAGAATGACATGAAATGAACTGTCAAATGAGTTGTGGCAGTTCACTGGTGAGCATTGACTTTATGAGGAAATTTAGTATGTCTACTCTGATATCCTGGAAGCACATTGAGACACATTACTAAAATGAGTTAGACAAGTGGTTGATGAAAATCCAAGAGCTGGTAAGAGATGCTCCCCAGAAAGCTTAATAGACAACCATAGGAAAAAATAATTTTGCCAACTGGCTGAGTGTTTTAACTTAGCAACTGGCTTATGCTCTTCCCTATTCCTTAATATCTACAATAAATATTGAACTCTCTCCTGTTTACAAACCTTCTTAAACTATTTGCCTAAGGGGCACTGCAGTAATGAAGTCCTCGAAGTTGTGTTTAAGCATTTCCTCTTACTGCAAGAATAAATCCATCAGGTTTTCAGCCTCCCACAAAGACAACAAATGCAAGCATGTAAGTGCCATAAAAGCCCTAAGAAACTTCAGAAGCAATTTAAAATAATATAAATATGCTTTTGGACACCTCTCACTACTTCTGTGTGGAACAAGGTTGGGCATGGACTCGGGGACTGGAGAGGCAGATGGGAATTCACCTTGTGTAACCTGGTATTCCTTTTCTCTCTCCCCTGCGGTCCCCTGTGGTCTGCTGTCACAGTACTGGCAGGAGTCTTCTGAGTCTTCACTAGCCAGGAGTTTGCCCAGCTGTTTGGCCCAGGATTGCACAGAGAAGGAGGAAACCTTTCTGGCTGAAGCTTCTGCAAATGCACTGCTTCAGTGATCAAAGCAGCTGTGTCTCTACAGGGGAAAAGCGAGTAGTCGGAAAGCTTGGGGGGTGCGGAGTAGGGCCTCAGAGTAGAGCTGATCTCCTAGGAAAAGTGATGGGATTACAAAGGTGGTAAGATCTCCACTTCTTCTAAAAGCATGTGTAAAGTTCAACTCCATTACAATTCTGTGGTTTGAACAAGTGTCTCTCCTAACAGCCACTTGTGTTGCCATTGCAGGATGATTTGGAAGTTTGCCTTGTCCGTTTTCCTGATGGCAGCGCTGGTTCGAGTAACAGACACCAGGAAAAACCGTCCTGCCGGCGCCATTCCCTCCCCTTACAAAGACAGCAGCAGCAACCACTCGGAGCGGAGGCAGCAGCTGAATAAGGAGGTGCTGGCCTCCAGCCAGGAGGCCCTCGTGGTCACCGAGAGGAAGTACCTCAAGAGCGACTGGTGCAAGACGCAGCCCCTGCGGCAGACTGTCAGCGAGGAGGGCTGCATCAGCCGCACCATCATCAACCGCTTTTGCTATGGGCAGTGCAACTCCTTCTACATACCACGGCATGTGAAGAAAGAGGAGGAGTCCTTCCAGTCCTGTGCTTTCTGCAAGCCACACAAGGTCACCTCTTCAACCGTGCAGCTGGAGTGCCCTGAGCTGGACCCACCTTTCCGACTCAAGAAAATTCAGAAGGTCAAGCAGTGTCGGTGCATGTCTGTGAATCTTAACAACTCAGGCAAACTGTGAGAGCAGGCATGTAGCTACTGCTTGGTGTTGCCCCTATCAGATTTACTGCTGCCTCTCCCACTCAGCAGACTGTCTGCTTTCTTGGTTTGTTTCTTCTTTTTCCTTTTTTTTTTTTTTTTTTTTTTTTTTGTGTGTGTGTGTTTTGTTTTCTTTCAGGAGGCATCTCTCCAGCAAGGAAAGCGTCCTTGATGCTTGCCCACTGGAATATAGCTTTTTAATGGGCTGTTAGACACTTCACCATAGAATTTAATTTTATTTCCAATATCATCTGATGGTTGAGTCTTTGAGTCTTCTGGAGTGGAGCAGGCTGCCAGAAGTTGGGATTAAGCATATAAAAGTGACCAGTTGGCTGAATCCAGCATTAAATGTTTCCACTGTGTGGAGTAAAGCCCTCTGCCCTACACTCCAGTCCCCTCCACAAGACAAGAATGACTTCCCCGTGCTTTGGTCCGGAGCTCGCCGCTCCCACTTGGAAGTGCTGGGATGCTGCCCAGGACTGGGGGACACAGATGAGGGAGAGCAACGAGGAGTAACATGCAAAAAGCAAGTGAGACTCTTTGATGAGGCTCATCTCCTTACAATGACTTTAATTGTGCAATGACAGACGGTTCTGGGCTTGTTGTCTGAAGGGCAGATAAGAAGCGAGGGGGAGAGGGCGAGGCACTGGGTCAGCCGCCGTGACCACAGAGCAGACTGAGGGTGGGTTCTGATGCTGTTGTGGTTAGAGTATATTGAACATGTGGTCTCCACAGCAGTGTTTATTTTGTAACCTAGCTATAGTAAACAGCTGTTTAAAGTATTATAGACCTAGCCATGTATATTTTTCTTGTGGCAGAATATGCCAGAGATTAAAATGTGTTGAGTAAGAGAGTCGGTTGCTAGGTCAGCTGCCTGGCTTAAAATGGACGTGGTTTAACTAGGCTTTCAGTAGGTTTTTATGTGCTAGATATATGTGTGTTTCCTACTCCAAAAAGGACAACATCCATTTATGACTTTATATTTATGCCTGCTCAGACTGGGGAAAGTGGGAGGGTAGTGGGAGAGGAGCTGAGAACATCTAAAGGGAACAATGTTTCACGTAAGGTATAAAAGCACTGTTGCACAAAGGACAAAATTTGGTCATTGCTGGACTGAATACAAAAGCTGCATCAGTGTCATCAGGTTTTGGGAGTGATGTCTCTCCCATGATTGGAAACCATGGTAATGTGTTAAAGGACAAACCTATCAGTCCGTGCCGCTGGAATGGGTCACAGCTGTAGGAGCAGGGATAGAGTAAGTTGTAATTGCTACAGTACTGGTGGTCCACTCAGTTTTTGAGCCCTACATAATCAGTGTTGGTGAACACTTGCAGTTCATTTTACATCATAGTATGTTGTTATGCAGTTGATGGAGTTTAGCATGTCCTGTATATCCCGTTTGTTCCGGTTCTGATCTGTATTAGTCCCAGCTGCATTGCAATCCTGTGTCTCAAAACAAACCAGCCCCTTCCTCCAAACCAAAGCCTGTGCGTACTCAATTGTCTGAAGCTTACAAATTAAAAATGACATGCCGACTCCCTGATGCATGTCTCACAGCTCAGCATCTGCATCTAGTGAAACCAGCTTGCTGTGGGAGCCCTTTCACAGGATCATAGAATGGTTTGTGTTCCACCAGCCCTTTCACAGGCAGCCTCTTCAAGGGGTTAACGTGTTGAGCACTCTCGCCAGCCAGGGGGTTCAGTGCCACAGGTCTCTATTATGTGAGACAGGCTGCTCTAAGAGGCTTTCAGGACTGAGCTCCACAAGAGCTCACCAAGCGGTTTACGGGGATTGGCACAGGCAGGATGAGGTTGGTCAGGTTCTGTTAGCCCTGTTACGTGAAGGGCCACGGCTTTGCTGCTGTGATCTTTCAGCGTGTCAGAAGCGCACAAGGAGACTCCCTTGCACAGGGATTGCTTTAGAGGTGGTCACTGCTGCGCTGCCAGCATCGTGCCAGCCACCCAAGGGGCACCATTCAGTATGGGCATGAGAGTGTTGGTGTGGGTGGGGTGGGGAGGTGGCAATAGCTATAGTCTGCTAAGACTCCAGGCATCTCAGTCTCCGCTTGAAAAAAAAAAATGACTGAGAGTCAGGCATTTTGAACTACAGAGAGAAAAGCACCCTAGTAACTTCAGTTAGGAAAAATGTGCAAGAATCTTTATCTTTAAGCTATGCCCTGCCTGGGTTTTTCACCAGTTTGCAATATGAATATGCTGCAGCTTAAAGCTCCTGCTAGGAGCTGTGTTTATGTAAAAACTGAGTTGAGCTTGTAATGGTTAAAACTGTATTTAATTCTTGTTTTATAAATGAAAACAAAAATTAAGAAATGCTTTAAGTATAATGTAATTATTTTATAGGTCTACTATTAAATTATAGATTAAATAATAAAGCTACTCTAGGGTTATATGGCATCCAGGTGTACAGCCTTTGCTTCCAGCACCTTGTGTCCAGCTGCTTTCTTACCAGTATATTCTCCGGCTTCCTTTTGACCCTACCAGATGCAGGTAAATGATGGCTCACCCTAACAGCTTGGGAAAGCCTAGCTCCTTCTTCCCTTGTCCCCCATCCTCCCAAAAGAACCTGCAAGGCAAGAGGGAAAAATAAATTGCACTATATGCCAGATTCTGGAGTAGATTCTGCATGCACAAATTCTGCTTTTTCTGGTTAACTGACAAGAAGACAACCAAAGCACCACCACTAGCTGAACTGCTGGCATAATTTGTGGTAAGAGAAGTAACTCTTACCCTGACCGAAGTGGTTTTGCTTAAAATACAGCTAGATCCTTATGTAACAGGCACCAAACTACTTACGGGGGGGAGGGGGGAAAAAAAAGTTGTTTATCTTAAGATACAGGTGAGCTTTAATGGTTGCTATCAGCTCTTGAATGAGTACACTGTATGTCTTTCTAAAAGCAGGGTAGTGCTTTGGGTTTTTTTCTTTTTTTTCTTTCCAACTCAGAGAAAATATAGTTGCAAAACAACCTTGAAGAAAAACTTTAGTGAGGAAAGGGAGTTCTTACCCTGAGGAATGAGCCTCCATGTGATCAGAAGAAATGCCTGTCATGGGTCCTGAAAGAAGCAGGAAGGGAGAGCTATGTTCTTTATGGGACTATAACTGACACCTGCAGGAGCACTCTCTCTCTTCCCTTCCCCATCTCTTGCCCAAATTCTCTCAAAGTTCAACAATTTAATGGATTTGAGGATTTTAATTTTTTTTTTAACTAGCTGTTGATTTTGAGAATTACTGTTTTACTGTGCTTTAGCTACCTAAGTATGGTCAGGGCCCTCCGCTCAGAACTCACAAGTGCCTCTGTCAGTGGGCTCAGGCAGCTGTCTCCTCCAATGCTCCTCTCTCATTTCCACCTCTCTCTTAGCCACTCTCCTGCTTTGCAGGTAGCTTCATTGCCCAGCGTCCACCTGAACCTCTACTGTTTGTGGTACAGCCTGGAGTCCAGCTCCAGCTATTGCAGCTTCTTGCTGCCTGACTACGGAACCACCCTACCAGAGGTATACACTGTAATCCAAAAAATTGGTTGCAGACCTGAATGGCGTAGGGCATGGTTTCTGTCTTCTCCCTTTGCTGATCTGCTCACACTACCTTCAGAAAAACTTAGCTCCATCAGTTTTTCATAGCAGCTTAAAATTGGTGTAACCTAAGTAAGTTATATAATAGACTTGGCACAAACTCAGCTTTCCTTATTAATCTAGAGTATGCAACAAAATAATTGCAGTGCAAAGACTTGCTGTGTTTTCTCTCAATGAAATTATTAACTGCTTCCAACTGAAAAACTGGGCAAGAAAAAAAGTCAGTCTATGGAAGATGTCATTAATGGTATTCCCACTGCCACTGCTGGTTAATACTTAACTAAGTTTTGGAAGTGCTTTGGGATGATGAAAGGTGCTACAAAAAAAGCTAACCACTACTGTGTCATGGCACGTGACAAAGTACCATGCTTCTGAAAGGCTTTAATTTGCAAGCAAAACAACATGAATCTTCTTAGCGCCTCATAAAACCCCGACTGTTATTCTCAGTAAGGCACATCTGCTGCTCAGGTATGAAAGTCCTTATTTAGCTGCTGCATTTGTTTAAGTAACAGTGAGTGATATATGGTGTTGGTGATCAAGAAAGGCTCAGAATTTTCTCTGTGAGAACTCTTGTAGGACTACAGCCAACTCAAAAGTATATGCTTGATGTTGCAGTAAATGGGGGGACAGGGGACCAATGGGGTGTTCAGCCTCTTTAAAACATGTCTAAACAAACAAGCAAAAGAACATTAGTCCAGAATTCTGTAAAAAAAAAAACCAAAAAACGAGTGTGCCACTGAAAAAAAGAGCAGTGGTGAAACTTATGCTGGGAATCCACTTTGAGAGTGCTGTGGGTCAACTGGTGCTGTATATAGTGGGCTACTTTGTACAGAAGTTTGAAAACAGGCTGGAGAGAAGCTATATGAGAGAGGCATGCTCAACCAAATCAGTTGGGCCTGACCAAAACAAAAGAGGAAAATCTATGTAGCAGCTTGTATCTGAAGATCGTAACATGGTATGGCTGGCTGCAGGCAGCCTCTGATGCTGTTCTTGAGAGAGAGAGGTTTACAAATAACTTTCCATACACATGCTGCAGATCCAGTGAAAAAGGTGATGTACATGTATGTGACAGTCCTACCAGGTTGCTGGATAACGCTTTAATGATATTAAAAAATAGAAAGATATTATAATATGCAGATAATACTTTGAAATACATATTTTACCCCTTATAGCAATTTCTTGAGACTGTTTCATAGGCAGTGTTAGAAGGAACAAATTACGAACCTAAGCCAAATGCACTACTGGAAGGCATGCACAAGCTAGAGAAGTGAGTGATACACAGTCTGATTGGGTAAAGGAGACCGAAGCTCCTCACTACCACCAGCTGGGGAAAAGGTATTATGTCCACATAACTGGGAATTACTGTCACTATGCTTTCAAAAGGCAAGGAAAGAGAAGT